AAAAATATTATTATAGTACATCCGAATGATTGCGCTAAAATGAAATAAAATAACAAATTTATTTCACGTTTTAAACCGTTAAAATGTTTTATTTAAATAAAAATAAATACTATAAAAAGTTTCTATGGCCATCCATATGTACTCTGCGATAATTTCCAAGGATGACATAATTTCTTAAGTTTTTGATTGTTTCGTGAACTATACTAGGAAAACATAACCGTTGTGCAGTCGTTTAAAGGACACGTGTTTTTAAAGCCCCGTCGAATGACACATCTTTGTTACAAAGAACTGCGACGGCGCTCACATGCTGTTCTTTTGACAAGTTATGACTTCTTTGAAGTTTGATATTTCTGCGCCGAAGCATTTAGTTTTCTGTGATCTGGTGTTGAATAAATCTTGACTATTCGGTATTTGTATATAACGGTAGGTTAAAATACCGAACTTTATAATATTGAAAGACCAACAAACATTTTTTTAGTCTTGATATTGTAATCCACTTTTTAAAAGTATGTATTATCTACAAAATTTTCTCATATTTCTATGAAAAATGCACGACGTTGCTGTACAAAATGGACTCGCTTAATTTATTAGTTTGTGAACTAGCTTCTGCAATATGATCTCTATTCATAATTTGGTACCAGGACGTAATAAATATCTAGAAGAACGACGTGGAGTAGATCATCACGAAAGGAGTTCGCGTTATACAAATGTTGTTAACTGAAATTTAATTATTTTTTAGTTACTTTTGCTTTGTTTGAAAATAAGTATACAAAAATATGTCTGCCACACGCTCTAAAATAAATATATAAGTTTTAAATTAATTGCCCCTTTATGTGTTTTTCTTTGAAGACTATTGTATAGTTTGTAGTGAATTTAGTTATAACAGCCACTAGATGGCGCTGTTTGGTTGTTTTGTCGTTTTGCATCGCGGTGATAAAGTATTTGTTAGAAAGTGTGTATAGTGAAGAAGGACAGAATCATATTATTGCACTATGGAGTCTCTAGGAAAACGGGAATTAGTGGATACTATTGTTGTTGTTATATTCAATATTGTTATTTTCAGGTATATACAGAAACTGGTAGCTATCCACTGTCCTTAGCATAGGTAGACATCATCATTGAGTTAGAATTTTCTGATGATGTCTACCTATGCTAAGGGCAGCTACCAATTTCTGTATATACCTGAAAATAACAATATATCAATAGTTTCCACTAATTCCTGTTTTCCAAGAGATCTTAATAGACTTCTCTTTAATAAATATGATTCTGTCCTTCTTCACTAAATAATCTCTTGAATGGGACTGAGTTTAAGATTTATCTGGTCTCTTGGCCTTCCTTAATTGATTCAATTTCAATGTCTTTTTTGGGAGCTTCTTTAACAACAGTTCTAGTAAGCATTGCAGTACGTGTAGTGTGTAGAGGTGGCCTCGACGATGCTTGAATAGATTTGGCGCCAAGACCAGTGTCAACCATTGCCTGGACATGGCGGTAGGTTCTTCGTTACCGGTTTTTTCTCACATTCGGCGTCAGGAATTGTGGCTTACTTGGATATATCTCGTTGGAACTGCACATTTGGATGCACTTCACCAAAAACCCCGCGAGTCATCAATCCCTTTCTTTTAGGCAGGACCACTTACTACCTTTGTTTCCATTAACGTTTTCGTCTTGGTGATTAATCGTACGAGTCCTGCTTTGGTTTTCCATCGTGGCTTATTAACAAGCACATGGAAGCTTAATAACCCTAGCTAACTCAAAGCTTCTTCAATTATATGTATGCGCACTACAACATTTATGAACACTTGATATTTTACCGCTCTCAATTCACTCGATTGAGGAGACGTTACTAGTCTTGTAGTAATGTCTTTAGGAACAGCTTGAAAATAAGGGAAAAAAAAGAATTTCAACATATGTACAAGAAGCAAATCTTGAAGATATAGTGTATTTCTGTCTATTTTATCATAGGTGATTTTGGACTTCGAGTATTCATGGTGAAAGTGAAACTACGGGGAATCTCTGCTGAAAGACTTAGCTTGCTTGATAATTAAGACTTATAATTTACATAAAGTTTAGACTTGTAAAAAATTGTTATTTAAAATAGTAACTTGTTAAATGCTTACGTCAATTACTTTTAAATAATTATAGATTAATGAACTAATTTACTAGATGCTCTTTTAAATTTATTGCTATTATATATTGAGTGATTTTGTAACAGTTGTGGGTACCTGCAGATATATTTCATAATGGCAGATAATTACACTTAAGTTCAAGAGGACATATTTAATAAAATTGAGAGAGGTTTTTCTAATTTTACAAAGTCTCCGAAGGAACATATAAGCATAAGATATTGTGAATCGCGATTAGAAACGTTAGAAAAAAGTTGGAATACTTTTTATTATAATCACCAGAAGATAGTTTTAGTATTTAAAAAGATGTACTCATACAATAGGATTATATGGTGAATGATGTTTTTAATACATGTGAAGAAAATTATTTAGACTATAAGACGTTGTTAAAGGACAAAAATGTGATTCGCAACTAGTTGAACACAGAACTCATACTCAGAATAATGTTAAGTTAGCAAAAATTTAAATACCAAAATCTGGACAATATTCCGAATGGCCAAGTTTTCGAGATCTATTTTTGTCATTAATACATAATGAGACATCTATTGATAATGTACAGAAACTTCACTATCTTAAAAGTTGTATTTCTGGGTAAGCAGAACAATTCCGTGTACCGCAGATAATTATATGATTTGTTGGAATCAATTAGAGGGTAGATTTAATAATAAAAAAATTCAAGTTAATTGTATTTTAAAACGCTTAATGAATCAAAAGGTTTTGGCGTCAGAATCTTCCAGTTCCATTAGAAATTTACTGGACACAACAAAAGAGTGTTTGCATGCCCTTAAAAATTTAGGAATCGATATATCGTCTTGGGATGTAATTGTTATATTTTTAATCTCTCAAAAGTTTGATTCAGAAACACGTAAACAATGGGAACAAAAAATACTAAATTTTCAAATGATTTAGGTACCTACAATGAAATTGTTTGAAGATTTTTTAGTAAACAGATTCAGATCTTTAGAGTTTTTGGATATTAAATTCAAAGATAAACCAACTTTCGCTCATGTTGCTACTAATAATAATTGTGTTTTTTGTTCTGAAAATCATAGGCTTAATTGTAAGAAGTTTTCAAAACAGGATGTTTCTATTAGATGTAATTTTATTCAGACTTATGCTTCAACTGTTTTTCTCCAAACCATTCAGTTTACAAATGTAATCAAACTTCTCGCTGCCGTGTTTGCAAGAAAAAACACCACTCTTTGCATCATAATCTTAAATCTAATCTCAATATGTCTGGTCAACCTGAGGGTAATGTCGTAATAGTTAGTATCCCTGGCATTTTTGGGATTTGAACAACTATTACCTAATAGAATTAAAAAAAATCAGAATATTATAAATGAAATCCGTAAATAACGACGTAACTTAACTAAAATGCGTTAAATTATACTACATGCAATTTCACAATATTTCGATATGCATATGCAAAGTCCCTTGTATCACAGTGACCTATCAAAGCACGTGGCTTGTACCAGGCCAACATAAAGAATAAGGGGAAACGGAAGTGTGTCGACCGCCGTTATAAATCCTAGGTGTAATCTGACAGCTACAAGCTAATCTATTTATACGCCGTCTCTGAGGAAATGCGTCTTGTACGGACTGTTTACACAATGGTATGATACGTCCGTATCTTTGAGTTGGTGCAGTGGACGCACAAGCATATTGCAATAGGTTGCAATCCGGCAAAAAAATATCATACATTAATACCAATTAATATTGATTGATCTATGATCAAATTTCTTTAATAAATTAATATTAAATATATGTATCGAACAAAAAATACACGATTCGAATAGGATGTTGTGGGTTCGAATTCGAGATTTGTGATTGTGAAACAATTTTCTTATTTTCCATACGTAGAATGCGCGAACAGTACAATTTAAATAAAACGCATATAACGGTTTAAAACGCTAATTATATTTCTGTTGGATATATCGAAATTTCGGGCCCTGGTTAAAATAAACAAAACATATGTGGCGTTTTAAACCGCTATAAGTGTTTTATTTAAACGATTCGGGATGACGTTTTCCCACCCCATTTTCTATATTACATTTGTTAGGCGAGAGATCCTAAATGCAGTTGTCCATGTATTTTCAAATGATAAATCGATGAACGTGTGTGAAATCCCGTTAACCCCTCGTGCGGCGTGGGGCGAATATATTTCTGTGTCCGTTTCACTGATCCGTTCTTTTTAACAGGCAAGTAGTTGATCAGACATCTGTGCCCTACCCGACCGGAACAACTTTCTTCCCCTGGGACTCGAACCCGTGACCTCCCGCGCATATCGCAATGCTAGGCAATACCATTTGGCTACTGAGGCGGTCAAATTGATGAACGTAAGCAATAGATAAAAGGTTGATTAACTATAAATAAAAACTTTTATAAAAAAAACACCTAATATTACAACACAACACACATCTTTCCTATATTGTGGTAACTTCAAAGTACAATAAAAACTTTTTAAAAATTATAATTTATAACAGCTAATTCGTTGTATACACAAACAATGCTTTGATTTGCCGCGCGGTGCTCCGTCCTCGAATTATAAATATTCCGTTTAAAACCCCTTTCACCTAATTAAAAGCATTAACAGCGGCCTCGATGACACATCTCCCGACGCTATCAAATCATGGACAAGACCGATAAATGACACAAATCAATTATGAAACGTAGAAAATATGACACAATGGTATCGTTCATAAAGTTCATAAAAATACCAAAAAAACTGCAAGACGAACGTTGCGCCTGAAAATGCCGACACTGCCAAATTGAGTGCCTTAACAACATCGAACTATATTTAATTGGTGCTTACAACAATAAATAGAGTAAAATAATGTTAGTGAATGGACACAAAGTGTGGTGTGGACTGAATTTAAGATGTTAGACGTTTTTCGCGGATTAAAAAATCTCATTAAGGTGAACTATGTACACATCGACTCGCCGGTGTTCAGGTTGCATTACTCGATCACTGTCATACTGCTGATCTCGTTCAGTCTGATCGTCACGACGAGGCAGTACGTGGGAAACCCGATTGACTGCATTCACACCAAGGACATACCCGAGGACGTCTTAAACACCTACTGCTGGATCCACTCCACGTACACGCTGAAGAGTTTCTTCAACAAGAAGGTGGGCGTGGAGGTGCCGTACCCGGGGATCGGGAACAGTCGGGAGAAGGGAAAGGAAGATATGAGTGACAGGAAGATCTATAAGTACTACCAATGGGTGTGTTTCTGCCTATTCTTTCAGGTGAGTTATAGTTCTTAATTTCGCGTGTTAGACATCAGCTATCTTAGCGTCTTAAACAACAAATCGACTTTCCAAATTTCCACTTAAATTTGATGTGTTCTCTACTCAGCTACTATTTTAGGATAGGACAAACCAATTAAAATATGCTATCTTAATAATAATCAATGACAACCTCTAGATTTAGACATTTTAAAGGTGAACTTGGTTACTTCAGTGAAGTTATTTAGTGGTTTATAAATGGGTTTTAAACGATTAATAGAAAATCTGTAACTATCTGTACCTTTTGATGTCATTAAAACAATCTGCCTCTATAACCCAATCACAACTTAATGTCTAGGCGAACCGCCAAACATTTTATCAGTTCTCTTAAAAGTTTGCTTCCATACAAACAAATTAAAATATTCTTTCTCTTTGTAAAATATGCAGAATATTTTTATTATTTTTTATAAGCTAAAAGGCATATCCACATAATACTAGCGCTGTTTATATAGTTTTAGGATGTAACACATTGGTCAATCATCAAAAGATTTTTAGAGGAAATTGAAATAAATGTTACTTTGCTAGATTCTTGATGTCTTCTTCGAAGTTGTGATGAGTGATGTTCTGTTACTATAAATCATTGCTACTAAATGGAGGGAAACTTTTTGTAGTCTGTAATAATTCTTGAAATATACTTGTCACTGGCATATTTAAAAAGTCGTGTAAAATATTTATAAACAAGACATGATTCTTTTTGTGGGTTTCGCTTGATGGTTATATACCCTAGCCGCATAACATCCAAAAAGGTGCCGACCCATTTTGGCAAAGTATTTCTGAAAACGTAATAGATGATTTAAAATGTATTTGTATATTTTTATTAATGTTGTAAATATAATCATAGCTGTGTGAAATGCCCTTTTTTTGATTGTGAAGGACTGACAAACACGAGGTTCACTTCATGGTCGGCATACCCTAGCCATATTAACATCTAAACAAGATTGACGTTTCGACCTATTTTGATCTTCAATTTTCGGAAATCCACATTGAAATGAGAATATATTTGACAGCTTTTTGACTGAGGAGGTTGGTTAGTTACCTGGACAGGAACTCGATATTCCTACCCAAAGTTTCAGAAAGATTAATATAGGACCCAGTTGGATTCGAACCCACGACCCGTCGATTATTAGCTACACATGAACAAGCCATCAACTTGGGCCCGACGTTAAAAATAATTTTCAAATAACTTTAACTAATATATCGCGTTTTAAACCGTTAAAATGTTTTATTTAAATAATGCAATGTTTATGTGTATTTTTTTCAATTACCACACATTGCTTTTATTTCATATTAAAGAACATATCATTAAGTGTTTGTATGTTATGGAAGTTTCTCCAAAATTACCATATAATGCTCCCGAGTACTGTACTAAACTGGCCTATAACGAGTTGCTCGCCGTAAATCCAGGTGTAATGTCGCAACTAGGTGCGCGAAACTATAACAAAGCTTATAAATAGCGTGTTTATCAGAAGTAGGGACTGTTTCACAATTTTTATTACTGCACTTTAACGAGCCGTTAAACCCGGTTATAATCTACAAGGAATTTCTAATCAAAATATTAGTCACTTTGATCGCATTACTGTTATTAGAAGGAATGTAACAATCAAACTATTAACAAATGGTTAAAACGATAATTTATAATTATTGAAAAGGAACTAGTGTTGTAGCTTTTGATGCATGCCCGCGACTTCTTCCGCGTGAAATAGTGACTTGGGGTAGAGTTTTTAATTATTTAGGCTGTTTATTAATTTATGTAAGGGCGCAGGTAAGGCAGCCAATCTATGGTAAGTGCTCCTTTGCTGCAACACTCTCACCTCACATCACTCCTACTCTATCTCCCACTCTCATTCCTACACTCATTCCCACTCCCACGCCCACTCCTACTCCCACTCCCACTCCTATTCCCAAAAAGCCAAAGAAGAAAGTTTCATTGTTCTAGCTTCAAAAACCAAGTATTTCCATACAAACTTTCATCCCCCTTTTACGCAATAAAAAGTAGCCTATGTTCTTTCTCGGGGTCTAGACCATCTGTATACCAAATTTATTCAAACCCGTTCTGTAGTTTTGGCGTGAAAGAGTAACTGACAGACAGACAGAGTTACTTTCGCATTTATAATATTAGTAAGGATTAATATGTAAAGAGAAGTTAAATATTTTTTTAAATACCCTCTTTAGCTTACACCTGTAGCACATATTTTAATAAAAAAATTTAAACAGTTTAAAAGACGATTTAAACCGTTCAATTGGTTTATTTAAATTAAACATCTTTAAATGGCATGCACCAAGATTAATGTTATATCTGTGATCAGTGATTCTACGGCCAAACCCGTTGTTAACCAATCAAGTGAGGTCCGGGATTCGATAACCGGGGAAGCATAAAAGTTTATTACGTTCATAAAGGATCTCCTTTAGCCTTAAACTAAACTGTCAGTCCAGATGTTTGTTCGTGTTTGATACAAGCAATACCACTTCAAGAACTACTGTGATAAAATTTAGTTTACTATTAGATATCCGATACTATATATAATAGATAACGGATAATTGTTTAAAGGCATATAATATTGTCGCCAAACACTTAAAATTGTGTCTAAATTAAATATTTTTTATAAAACATAATTTATTATAACAGTTAAATTAAGTAATTATTAGCGTTAATTTTTTTTTACTATTGGATATAGAAGATAATTTGAACACAGGTTATACTTAAAACGTACGTTTTATTTCTACCTATCGTAAAAAGTCTTTTCTTCTCTTCCATAAACATCGCTAAGCAGATGTGATCATATTCTATTTTGGTGGTACATAAGAAGTTTATAGATAGTGAATATAATCCATAACCCAGATCTCTTATCAGCGAATAGCCATAAATTTAAAAGCTTCTTACTTTTGATGTAGTAAATTGTATATCTATACTCTTAAATAAAACAGTTTAACGGTTTAAAACGCGATGTATATTAGATAAACTTGTTTGAAAATTATTTTTAACTTCGACTCGAAAGCTTCGGATGCTTATTAGCAGCCGTGGTCACGGGGAGAGTAAAGGTGGAGGATGTCTCCGACGTCAAAGTAAAAATTGCTACGCTAGCGCCATCTGTTCCGTCGAAATTGGTATTCGGCGAAACTGGCCGGGTCCTTACAGATTTGATTGACAGTATCTTCGCATTTGCCGGTATGCTGTGTTTGTGGCATCCAGATTTCTGAATATGGGATCCCAGATATTTGATAACGTGAGGCTATCCTCCCTATTGAAATTTCTGTGTTTAATTTTCAAATGAGTTTACTAATATATATCGCGTTTTAAACCGTTAGAGTTTTATGTAAATGTGTAATACTCGCGTAAACTACAGAGAGTATATCTATACTTGCGAAAAACTTAATACGACTATCACGATGTAAATCAAAGCAATGTGGGGAAAATATTTCATTTCAATAATTACAGATTGATATAAGTTTCCTTCCGTTTTTAATAACAAAGTGCTGGATCTATACTAATCTATACTAATATTATAAATGCGGAAGTAACTTTGTCTGTTTGTCTGTCCGGTTGTAACGCCGAAACTACTGGACCGATTTAAATAAAATTTGGTACACAGATATTCTAGAGCCTGAGAAAGGACAAAGGCGAAGTCGTGGGCACAGCTAGTATATAATATAGATAGGTCTCTTTGTTCACATATAAAATACAATGAATGTACGACAAGACAAGAATACAAGACGAGACAGGATCCATAATACCTCGTTTTAAGCCATTTATTTAAAGATGATTTTTTTTATTAATCTACATCTTTCTGCGAGTTCAGATATTCCGAAGCATAAGTACTAGGCTTACATGACTCAAAAGGCGTCATTTATTTGAAATGTCAAAATGCTAAACACGTGTTAATACTTCGCTATTAGCTGGGTTGATTTTTACCTTAAAAGCTGCCTTGTTTATGGCAACACAGCCATTATACTTAGCGTTATGAGTTATATTATAGAGCAATCGTGATTGGTGCCAAAATGCATTATTCAATATTAGCACCTACGTCAGTGGCATATGGTAGTTAATCTATAACTTATCTAACCGCCGTGTTAGAGGTAAGTTTGTGACCCAAAAATTGTTGAGAAAAGTGCAATAATAACTAACGAAATCTAAATATTGATTAGGTGGTAGGAATATTAAATTGCCGTCCGGAGCAGGAATGCCCTTGAACAGATGACAAAAGCTGTGAATGTCCTTTTCGTTTCCTCTTCAGCCTGTAGATACCAAATATAAGCCAAAAAAAATTATTACTGGAATAAAATCGATACGTAAAACAATTAGAAACCACTACTCGCGTAAACTACAGACAACATTTGCCTCTGCTTATCGAATTCAGATAACATCGTATGAGTAATACTTAATCGAAGCAGGCCAATCTGACGAAGGTGTTAATCAGACGCTTAGCGCGGTCATTACCACCATGACTCATCATCATCATAATTAAATTCATATTCATTTATTTCATATTAAAAAGCTTAAGAGTTTGTTTGTTACAACGAGCCAGGAACCACTGGCTGGTCAGAACTGAAAGTTAGTTTAGTGTTGCTATGACCATTAATCGAGGAAGGCTGTAGATCGTCAGGTTGCAACCACTATGAGCGCAGAAACAGAGCTAAATGTGAAAATAACGAGGTAAATTCCAAAAAAAGGCAGGTTCTCCGTTGCCCAAACTGTTCAAGATACCTTAAAAATATATACAAAAGATTTTTAAATTGCCTAAAAAATATCCGCGATAGTATAAGTCTGTTTTTTAACTAAAAAGAACTTTTTTATGGTAACAACATTTCGACAAAATACTAGTAAAAGAGCATTTGACAGGTCAGCTAGTCTGTAAATTTTTCATATACTTAGTGGTTAAACGTTATTAAGCATGTCTAATGTAATGCTATCAATCAATGTTTAAATAATTTTTGCTACTTAAGAAAATGTCACGATACGCTCA